TCTGATCTCTCCCTGACAGTGGTCTAGAAGTACAACTCCCATCAACACAGTCCACGACTGGAAGAAGGCTGGTGTCCAGAAGGATGTCTTGACGTTTCCCTAGAATCAAATTCACCCAGGAGAAAGTCCCGATAACCGGTCCTGCGATCGACCACAATCTAGAGGAAGTCAACCTGCAAAAACCCGAAGGACGAAAAGAACTAGTGAACCAAGTGAATGGCCTAAGGACCCCAAGATGGGTAGCAAAACGTCTAAAGTGGCCGGCAGCACCGCCAATGTGATTAACAGAGTAGAGATCGTTGACCACAAAGATGATATTCAGGATGTCAACAAGACCATGAAGCTCATCGTTGGACTACTCCTGGTTATAGTGCTCCTTAAGGTTGTAAAGATCTACAAGCGCTCTGTTCAGAGACGCCGCGACCAACATCATGCCCTGGAGAAAGTGGTGACTCACATTGGAGCATAAGCCAAGCAGATACAGTGAAGTGAAGCAGCAAGAAGACAATAGAAACAATAAAACAATAATAAGTAAATTGCACTCCAATATTATGAACAAAAAGTGAATCGCCCAGAAACAATCACAAACAATTTGCGAGTACATGCATTTCTGAATGCAAGTGTAAACAGAACCCCCAAATACATACGCTGAACAAGGAATTGGAGCTGCACCGACCAGCCCCAGCTCGAGCATTGGAACCGACGTGCGCCGCAGTGGAACTCGCATACGATGCATGCATACATACATATCTATACAGCGATAGTGTTATTTTTTTTGTGTAACATAATTTTTGTGTTTTGTTTTTGTAAACCGCCTTCAAGTCTTGCACGTATATATGTATATAAACCAATTATGAAATCTCCCAAAGCCCAGGATCCGGAGCGTCGAGATCTCATCGCCCAGGATTAAAAAAAAAGAGGGTAAGTTTGTCGGAACACGGTTCCTTTTCTTATACATATATATATACATATATATCCGTGCGCCATGCTTACATCAGATGCTTTAGCAAAAACAATAGACACTGATCCACAATTTAACGTAAGAATTTTATACTTGTTATCAAAAGCGACCCTACCAATAACAGTGAATGAATTGGAATACTTATATATTGAGACCTTCCGTCTAGATTTTTCTCCACTTGCCCACTGTAATAAGACCGAAAAAGCTATCATTATCTCTACCGTTCCAACGGTCATTGTTCTCTCCCGTCTGGATAAGAATTTGTTTTTGGGCAACGTTAATACTTTCCTAGTTAAGACAAAGAATTAATCTGTTAGGAATGCATGTAATAATATATGATATCCACATATAATAATTGTTTAATATATATAATCATTTAGATATACTTTTCTTTTTATACCTTTTTTTATACATAATAATCAAATGTTAACTTTTCAGCGGCGAGTATCAGCCTTGTAATTGTATGACAATTGCAAGAGCCCTCTGAGCGACGTTTGTAGTCGTGAATAGTCAGCATTTTGCTGATGTGTGCACCTTCACAGGTGGTAAAATCGATACTTTCCGCTAATACAATAATTGTCAACAATTGTAACCAATATTATGTTATTCAACACCGGCACACGCCGACATAAATATTATTTAATAAACTTATAATGTGAAAAGGAATTCAAAACCATGGTAGGTCAAGAACAATGACATAACTTTCGACGGACAACCTTGACAATAGGGGATCGTATTGCGCGGCCCGCGACGATCCATTGGCACACGAATGTGTGAAGGGGAGGGAATATGGCCAAAACACAGCCCGATCGTATTGCGATCAAGCGACAGCTAAGCTTGTTGGGCAGTGTGTACTGATGACTGACGAACTTGTTGACTAATATTGTTTTCCAGGCACTTTTAATATTTATTCTCGTTATGTTGGAGAGGAGAGAGGCTTACCAAGATCCCACGACCCGAATACGACGTAGCTTATGCCGGCAAATGGTGCCTGAACATCGGACGCCTCTCCCTCGGCCCAAGTCCTTGTCAGGACTCGGGCACTAACATGCCCACGTAACACCTTCGCACAAAGATGCGGTATTAATTTATATTTCGCAGATCCTCGCCATAGTACGTCCAATGGACAAATAGAAAGGGCTCATTCAACCCTTACTGAAATTGCTCGTTGCATCAAAGATGAACTTAACTTAGTTGATTATTCTGAAGTTATAATTAGAGCAGCTCAGAAATATAATATGACAATACATTCCATTACCAACCAACGACCGTACGATATATTATACAATAAAATCGAACACGATAGTATTCCACAGTTATTAAAACAGGCACAAGAGAAAATGTTAAATTATCACAACAAAGGTAGAAAGGAAAAGGACTATCTCGTAGGGGAAGTCATTTATGAGAAAAAACACGGAGAAAGGAATAAGCTTAACTCTAGATATAAAAAACAAGTAGTTAAGGAGAATTTACATAATAAGGTTATCATAAACAATAGAAATCGTACGATTCATAAAGATAACATCAAATCTTAAACACAGTTTGTCTTAAATTACAGAAAATGAAATCAATAATATTTGTATTATTGATAGTAGCGGCCACCAATTCCGAAATGATGGATTACACGAACCATGATTTTTTCCTCTACAAGGATACAAAAGACATTCTTATTTATGATTCATACGCTGACCTATTTCATATAACTAATTTAAGTTTATATAAAGACATAATCAAACTCGAATCAACACACATAAACAAAAATAATAATTTACAGTGGGAAATTTCCTATGACTTAGATATTATTAAAATGATCCTCTCACAAATTTTACCAAGTAGGGCAAAAAGAGGAATTAATGAATTAGGCACCCTTTGGAAATGGATAGCAGGGACTCCCGATCATGATGATTTGATAACGGTGCAAAATAAAATTGATGATTTAATCCAAAACAATAACAATCAATTTGTTATTAACTCTAAATTATTCAAAGAAATAAAAACCCTATCTGAGAATCTTCTAACAGTTATTTCAAATCAAGAATTTCCATTCAGAAAACACCGTCTTCGCTTGCTCACTTACGATCTGATGAATTTAATGGATACAATTACATTAGCAAAAATAGATGTTTTCAACACTAAAATTTTTAACGCTGAAGAAACCCAAGAAATATATAAACACGAACAGAAACCTGTAGTAATTACTGACATATTAGATATATCAAAATTTAAAATCGCCATACACCAAGAATTAATTGTAATATATATAAAATACCCCATCATAACAAACCGTTGCGAAGTGTATAACGCAAGATCCATCTCACACAATGATGGAAAACTATTAATTGATAATCATGTCGCCAAATGTAACAATAGGTACTATGTAATTTCTAATTTTAAGACAGAAATATTTAATAATTATGGCACTTTAAGACCAGAAAGTACTTGTTTCACTAGGCTACTAAATGGAGAAAAATCCCTTTGTAATAAAATCAGGGAATATAATATAAAAATTGATGTAATCCAAGAAGGAGCCATTTTTATAAATGGTTATAATACTGTTAATGATACTCATTTAAATGGGTCATTTTTAATTACTTTTAATAGTACTACTAGAATAAATAATATATCCTACTCTAATCTCGACCATAAGATAATAGATAATATCACTGCTAAACAGTATAATGATTTTTTAGTATCCGAATATCTTATGTCAAATGATTCGGAACTTTCATTCGATAACATTAACATATTAAACCCATTTATTCAAATTAAACAAACTCAAATCCCAATAACATTTATACTGATCATGTTAATTTTAATATATGTAATTATCACGCTTGTATTTAAAGTCAAAAAATATCTAATATTCAAACCACGGCAAATTCATATTGAAATAGCCCCCGAAAATAATATGTCCGAAAATGAAAATACCACTGTGGATCAAATTATAGTCGAATTGACAAATCAATCGGGACGATTCAATTTAGAAGGGGGAGAGATATCCAGCTCATGATCCCAGCCTCTTTACCCAATTTATAAACAAACTCTTCACATACAATTCTTAGCTGAGAACGCTTTCCAGCTCGAGCGCCCAGACGCCTTACCCAAGTCGTAAACAATTTCCTATAAACAATTCTTAGCTGGGATCCCCTTACTCAGCGTTCCCACAGAATCTCAATTAGCTCCCCCACTTCAATCAAAGTTCATTATTAAGATTCAATTGCGCCGCAGTCCTCCTAACATAAACTAAGCTGGGTCCAGCTAATGTAAACACAAGCATCCGGTCAACACCCGGCGAGCCCCAAAACTGCAGCGTAATCCGTTTGGCAATTGAGCAGAGAATTAGATCATCCGATTTCCCGACTCTCTTGAGTCCAACCCTTGTCTAACTCTTAATGAGTTCCCCAATTCTCCAATGAGGTTAGTCAATTATTTTGTAAATTTTAGTACGTAAGATGAGTTGTTGAAATGTTCAAGTAGCCAGTAAAGGAACTCCGTTGGCGAAATGAAATAAATATTTGTGAACCGCCAAGAATAAAAGTCGATACTAAGGAAATGTTGTGAAGTTTAAACTTAGTGAATAAAAATAAAAATAAATTTTTTAAATAATTCACAAGTGAAGTTATTAATTTGCTTGCAAATTTACCAAGGCAAATGTGTAGATGTGTTGTGTTGGCTGGGAATGTAAAAAAACAAAAATGTAATCCGAAGAGTGAAGTTCGTGCCACGTGTTTTGAAAATGTTTGTTGCTTTCTGGCACCAATTTAACATCAATATTTTCGCAGATAAGTAAAGTGTAGATAATTTAATTCAATATGAGCACAATAAAATAACATAATACTTGTGTACAATTGTACATATGTACATTGAACATTCAAACTAAAAACAAATTAATTAAATAAAATAATAATTATTTGTATGTAAATTGTACATACAACAGAGTTATGGTCCAAAATAAATATATTGTATATTTATATATTAAATAAATATATAATATAATCTATATAAATATATAATATTCAATTTGCTTTATATCTTTCAGAGTCGCAAACTGAACTGCATAACTTATATTTTTCGGCACACGCGTGATTTTAATGGGTTCGTCTCTGATCCCCAAAATGTAATCTAATGACTGGAAAATCTCGTCCGGTGTTTTTGGACTACCGATGTTTCTAGGGCCATCACTGTTCAAAGAAGAAGACCGAAAGCACTCTAAAGGTTTGTAATTTGTTACATTTTTCCTGTTATGCTAACTATAATGTTTAAATACTTGCTTGCAACTATAGAAAATGGTATTGGAGCTGTTCGGCCTGCATCTCTTAAGTTTCCTAACGAAGAATATATTCTTAATCCGTACGTAGTTCAAAACTGCGCAGTACATGGCCAACTGCAAGCAATGTAGTTGATTGTGTACGTCGCACGTGTGGCGGCAACAATGGAAAATTTTGTGAGTTCCTGCCACGTCCTGAACGATCTTTTACCAAGGCGGGCACCCGCTTGAAGTCGGGGATCGTAGATCAGCTAATGTTTATAAATAAGAATTACAAAAGCTTTAAAAGGTAGTCCCATTAGACTGTAAGATGATCTCATTTGACTATATTTTTATTTTTATTTTCTTATATCAATAAATGTTTTGGTTTCTTTATTTTTAATAAAATTATCATTAAGATTTTAAAATTATATTTTATAAAATAAAATAATTATGGACATCGAAAAACATCGATGTTCCTGCATTTCTAGTCACGGAAACCAATGAAAACAATACCCAACAGCAAACCGGGATTCATTTATATGGCCTACCCTCAAAAAAGTGTGCTAATTAATTAATTTGTGCCATTTTGTGCAAGTACAAATAAAGTGCATAATAGAATATGCAATTTTTGCATTTTTTTTCAAAAATGAATGTTTTTATTGCAAAACAGAACAAATTTTACTCCACAAAGATGACCCTGATTGGAATTGCTTTTTCGCAATAACAGACTTTAAGTAATCAGTCTTTCTCTCTCTCTTTCTTGCGATGGATTTCATTCCGTGTTCCGAGTGTAAAGCTGATGTCGCAGCTGCGCAGCTCCGCGGTTTTGAGGCGGTTCGCTGTTCCTCGCTTTGTTACCGTACATTTCACACAGCCTGTAGGCTTTGCCTAAGCCTAGTACTGACATCGACGAAAACCACGAGCTAAAGATAGGAGTGTGAGCGAGAGTAATGGCAGGCGGCTAACGCTTTTCGTCGGGTCCGTTTTTCTGCGCGGTACTCAAATGAGCTAAGGAAATACCGAAAAAAATACCGGATTCGTCAGTGAATTCCGATGAACGCCGTTAGCCACGGCGCTAAGAATAAAAATTTAAACTTTAGGTGTGTTCGTGCAGAGGCGGTGTGGAAACTAAAATTACAAATTGAAGGAAAAGCTGAAGGAGCCATTACCAGCCATTGCCAATATGTTGGGCAACTTCCTACAGCACCAGCGGAACAACCTCGATCCCAAACCGACTCCCACTCCCACTTTTGGTGTATTGGGAATCGGAGATGAACTGAAGATGGCGAACTATCCAGGACAAAAATGAAGCGTTAAGCTATAAATTTACTTAAATTTAAACGGTCCTTGAAAATTCCATTAATTTTTTTTTCGATGTTTACCAGCAGATTCGCCTTTTTCAAATCGTTAACAAAACAAACACAGCTGCTTGACAATAAGACCATGCTACATTCACTGCGTGTGAACTTTGAAAACTTCAGTCACACTACAAAAAACACATTTTTACGACTAACTATTAGCTGATCTGAGTACCAGTGATCAACTCGAAGTTGTGCCGAGCAATAAATACTTGCATATTGGCAGATTCAGAACACACGTCAAATCACATTCGGTGTGTGAATTTGCAAACATGCTAGGTCAGATACAGCTATCATAATTTTCAAGCCATTAGTAAAAAAAATGGTGTACATATCTCTATATTGCAATTCGTGAATCTTTAGCTGGGAATACCCGAGCAACACTTTCAGATCATGTATAACCACGAACTCAATTTAATCAAAGTCAGATAGGCCGATTGTTGATAAAAACATTCTAGATTTGGATAATTAACAGACATCAGATTCAAAAAACCACCAAGAATCGGCGCCACTGGCGTCGATGGTTTTGCGGAACAATTTTTCAATACTCTCGGTTTGTGCCTAAAGTCTAGATCGGCTAAGAGTTTCACTAGTCGAAAATCTTATTCTATGTAGTGTGACCGAAGTTTTCAAAGTTTACCAGCGAAGCATGTGCATGTCTTATTGTTAAGCAACTGGGCTTGTTGCCAAACGGAAATCAAATCAATTGGAGCAATTTAAAAAAAAAGAGTCTGCTGGGGCACAAAGAATTAAAAATAAAAACATATGAAATGTTCAACGAATGTTTTTATTTATGTAAACTAGAAGTTTAAGGCATCCTTCTCGTCCCACGGATGCTTCGCTATCATTCCCGCGCCATATGCAGTTCAGCTCCGAGTCCCAATAGGCTGGCCAATAATGGCTGGTGATGGCTCCTCCAGCTGTCCCTTAGCGGGCGACCATATTTTCTCCTACAGAAGCCGGCGCGTCCTGCATCTCCGCTTTAGCTGTCAAGTAGGTGGTGGAGGTGGAGTCCTCAATGCAGAGCTCGTCGGAGATCGAACGATGTCCCATATTCCTTCCCACTGGGATTCTTTAGTGGATCTCCTCCAGCGCTTCAACTATTCTGCGGATTTGGCCTGTTGTGGTATTGCTTCCTGTCGGTCAAGTCCCTGAACAATGGGCAAAAGCCTGGATTAGGCGTCCTTTTTCATCTGCACTGACCTCCCTTAGGCGTTTTTAGTGTTATATTTTTTATTTTTAAATTCCCCACCGCTTCTGCACGAACACCGCCAAAGACTAAATTTCTTATTCTTTGGGCCGCGGCTAACGGCGTTCATCAAAAATTCACTCGCGAAATCTGGTATTTTTTCTGGTATTTCTTGAGCTCATCTGAGTACCGCGCTGATAAACAGACCCGACGAAAATCTGTAGCCGCCTGTTTGCCTCTCGCTCACCCCTATGGCTAGCTCGCGGTTTTCGTCGATGTGAGTACTAGGCTAAGCCGAAGTAGACACTCGCAAGACGATCGCTTCGCGGCAATGGTAACGATGGTTACTGCGATGGCGGACCACAGGCGATGCGGGAACTGCGGTGAGGTTAAGCTAACGTAGGTTAGCTGCTAGTTGAGTGAGTGTATTACGATGCCTATACCCAGAGATATGAAGTAGAACCGCGAAGTTATCTATACTATATATATACTACTTGGTGTAATGATAGTGAAATATGTTCTAAAGTAGCTCAGGGAATTTTGATTATGGTACCAGTATGCGTTGTTGCCTCGGTTGACAATGCAAAATGTGCTGACTGCATTGGGGTCAGTGTACCGTTGAGTCGGTGAGTTAGTGAGACATATAATATGCTGATCAGCAATTCTAATCTGCAGTGGGTGCTTCTGAGCGTCTGGTACTGTTCTTGTTACCTGGTACTTGGCTACTGCTTGAATTGTTGGGTGCTGGTCATGTTGAGCACCGTTGAGTACGAACACTCTCCATTTTGATTCGTTCTCGCAACATTAGCAGCCGAAGGTTTTCTCAGCTGCTGGTTGCTGTCGCCTATACTCCGCACTGTGCGAATCTCGGAGTGGCGCTCTCTTCTTCCGCCACGTTCTCAACTTTTTTACAAGAAATGCAGCCCGAGCTTTCGTCATTTGCTTTGTGCGATACTCGCACGAGACACTCTGTCTTCATATTTGCACGCACTTCATTTATCGCCACGCTCCCGATGCACCGTACATAGCATCGGTGTAAGTTTTCACCAGCTGCTTCAAGAGTTGCTGCAAAAAAAAAACAATTACTTGATCTCGGGCGAAGTGCTTATGTGTAGCTCGTTTTCGGAGGTGAAAACTTATGTTTTCGGAAGCTCCTTGTCTGCGGAACCAGTCAAATTCTTGTTGCGGCGCTCTTTCTCGGCGCCTCGTTTGGAAACTCCTTCCGACATCATCATATGGAAGTTTTAGGAGATTCTGGCTTAGCACCATCTGGTGTAACGAACCGCTACACTTATAAAAACTCTCGACCAGATGTCACCTGGCTCGTCGGCTATGGGTGTGATGGCCTTGCCGACATCTCGGAATGCCTATTCCTAATAAAACTCGGATAATCGCGTGCCTCACCAAACTAACCGGTATAAAGAATACCACACATCATAATGCTGGACCTTTCCTATCTATTTCCATTCCGACTGATCCGCCCTTCTCGCCTCCTTCGATGTTCCGGAGGTCCTGGTCATGCCCACCCTACCATTGGTCGCATTGCAAGTCAACGCCAGCCGCGGCCAACACAAATTACTTTTAGCACATTATAAACCTTTCAATCATTGTAAAATACAAACATAAATTATCCTGCGGTAAGCGATATAAAATTCCATACGAATAGACGACAATTTAAAATTACAAGATTAAAGATATTTGGACAACAAAACTAGTGATCGATATCGCAAATCCCCTTGGTGGACTTTGCCTAAATTAGTAATGGTACGACTTTGTTGTGCTTGCAAAAATTTTGATTTTTTTATGGGCATTTTAAATTTGAATTTTAAGGAAAAATTGTCAGACAATTTCGTTGCCTGGCAAATAAAACTAAACTCGAAGCGAACAAAGAGCTTAGGATTCACGCGATCGATCTTTTTAGCTCATGCTCTCCCGGTTCGCTCAGACGTTATCGTAAATTTTCTATTTCTTGCTCTCTCGGCCGTCCCTTCTGATCTTTCCTTCTTAAATCTTACCCTTCGATTTATTCCATTTCTTTCCTACTCCCTTTTTTTTGTAATAAATAAATGAAAATTTTGACTCACCACTATTTCAAATCCGTCGACGAAAGCGCTTTCCTTGGGATGATGAGAGCTGTGAAGGGGGAAAAATCGCAAAAAAAAGAAGAGGGTAAAAGGAGACACTCAAACCGACACAAACAACAAAAAAAACTACGCTAGCACTGGAACTCTCCTCTCCTTTTTTTTCTTAAATGCATGGCCTGTACCGCCGCGGACTATGAGGTCACAAGCAACTGGTTAGAATTTGGTCAGGTTAGGTTTAAATTTCATATATAAAGTTAATGTATGTTTTCCAACGCTGCTGCCGCCGACTTTTTAGCTTGGCCGCCGACTTTTCATCTTGGCCGCCGATTTACCAGCTTGCGTTTATCACCAAAATCCACATCCGCTTATTCTTTCCTTCCCCAGCGCCTTCTCAGGAACTTTCCGAATCGCTTAGACCCGACTGCCTACATTAATTTTCCGGCTAAACTCAACTGCCTAAACATTCCCTTTTCTATCAAAGACTCACCAGTCTAGGCACGATCCAACCGCAAATTAAACAAATATAAAATTTTCCTTAGCAAAAATCACTCGCGAACTGACTTGAGGTTGACTACGTCTGTACTCTGCCGTTGCCGCAAAAGAAAAGACAGCATCCGCCGCTGCCGACCCACTGGTAACCTCGGTCGTGGGGCAAGGTGAATTTCTAGGGCCGCTGGACATTTACCGTTGTTACTCTCCTAGAACCCCTTTCTAGGCCTGACACAGGTGGCGCCACCGCTGGGTTCAATCCGTCCCACAGATGGAGCTGCTAAACTATCTAGCATCTTAGACAAGCGTTTCAAAAATTACCCCCCTCATGATCATACTTGGTGGTCGACGCTCCAAGGATGATACCAAGAACGCTTGTCATCCTGACTCTACTGCTTATGTCCTTAGCATGAAAGCGCCCCTGCAGATCCTCGAGGTCATAACAAGCTTGACCGTCCTTTTTCCTCACCCGTGACTTTACGAAGGCTGGTCCCAACTTTGCGTTATAGCCAGCTGCGAAATTACTTTGCTTGAAATTTGTACGATAAACTTCTTGATATTCGTTGAAAAATACCTCTCTTGATCTTAAATTGTACTTTCGCTCATTTTCTCGAACTGATTTTTCATTATCTCTAGTGCTTTATTGCGGACCAGCTCAAGAGAGTCTTCTTAAGCGACGCGTGATCGGTAAACATCGTGAATTCGTGGCCCTTAACATAGGCACGAAACCTCTTGATGCAAATAATGGCTGCTAAACACTCTTGTTCCGTGACCGAATAGTTTTTCTGAGCCTTATTGAGCTTCTTTGATACAAAGGCAATTGGATACTCTTCGCCACTCTCAGACCTTTGAACTAAAACACCCCCTACTCCGGTGTTACTGGCATCACAATGGATGTAAAAGGGCTTGCTAAAATCTGGGCTACGCAGAACGGGCGCAGAGCAAAGCATTTCTTTTAACTTATTAAATGCTCGCTCACCTTCCACGCTCATCACGAACTTTTGTCTAGGTTTTAGAAGACCGGCTAAGGGAGCTGACACTGCAGCGAAGTTACTTATAAATTTTCGGTACCAACCGACCATGCCAAGGAATCTCCTCAAAGCTTTCAAAGTCTTTGGCACTGGAAAATTGGTCATGGCCGAAATTTTATGAGGGTCTGTACGCACTACGCCTTCCCCTACTATATGGCCTAAATATTTGACACTTATTATGCAAAAATGGCTCTTTTCTACGTTGAATGTCAAACCTGCTGCTCGAATGCAACTTGCCACCGAACTCAAAACCTTCAAGTGACTGTCGAAACTATCTGAGACGATAATCAAATCGTCCAAATAAACAAAGACCTCGTTTTTGAGCATGTATTACCTTATCCATCAGCCTAGTCATCGTTTGCGAAGAATTCGTGAGCCCAGATGGCATCACTTTATACTGATATAACGGTTTACGGCTTGCAATTGGATTCATTGACCATCAGTTAGAATGTAAGAATCACAAGTCAATTCCTCAACCGGCATAGCCGGTGGCAATAGCTCAAAAGAGGACCAAAAATCAATGTCCAAATAGAGGTCTTGATTGAGCGAGGGAATGATATACATCTCGAAATCCTATGTCTTTCCTTCGTACTGTGCTGATGTCTTTAAACGTCCTATCACATTTTGCCTTTGCCCATTAGCTGTGTTTACTGTACTTGCACCCCTCTTGAACGGAACTCGACCTTTAATTATTTGCTCGGCCAACTTTCCGCCTATAGCGCTTATGGATGCCCCCGTATCTAACAGTCCTATTACAACCCTGTCAAGCAAACGAACCTCTGCATAGGGCCGTCTGTCCAAGATCTTTTAGCAAATTGCATATATGTCCTTAGCTGACTGCCAATACCCTTCGATCCTTTTTGCATTTCGAGAAGGTTTGTGTTGGAAATAAAGGTCTTCTCCCGATTCCTTAATTGATTTAGTACACGATTTTAATTTTTAGTTTAAAGTTTTTCTGTTTAATAGACCCTTCTTTTATAACACAACTTGTCCGTTCTAAAGCCAAAGTCAAAGAGAGAGAGATCAAGCCACTTTCAGTGTGACCAGCCCTTCGGTGTTGAACAATCTTTTGCGTATAGAAAAATACGAAGATGGTATTTTTTCCACACACCTCCTCAAAAGATATGTTGAACAATTTAAAATTAAATTAGTATTACAATAATATTCTTATTTGGACAGTTGTTTATTCTGGGAACAATAATAATGATCCATGTTCATCTAGAAATAGTCTTGTTAATATCAAATCAAACTAGTTCTAGCACTAAGGGAAACCCAGTAAAACCTTAATCGAATCATTGGTTTCATTTGACAAATTAAATGTTTCTTAGCTTCTAGCTAATAAATACACTAAAATTCATAATTTTAGTTAAATTAAATTATCAGTTCATCTTTTTCTTTAAACTAAGTTCTAAATTAAATATCAGTTTCAACAGTTTCTTTTTTTTTCTTTTGGTTTATAGTAAATAGTTTATAGTTTTAGTTCTTAAGACCCATCTCGTTTTTTAGTGTCAAGAATCTTGCAGAGGGCAACGGCTTCGTGAGGACATCAGCAACCTGGTGTTCTGTGGGAATATATTCTAAGATAATTAATTTATTTTCAATTTGCTCTCTTGAGAAATGGTACTTTATATCAATGTGTTTGGATCGTTTGTGGCATGTAGGATTATTAGCTATGCTTATGTAACCTTGCTTATCTTCTAATATTATGATTGGTTTATTTAATTTAAATTTTATACTAGACACTAACGATTTTAACCATAAAGCTTCCCTTACTGCTTCAAATAAAGCCATATATTCCGCTTCAGTCGAAGAAGCAGCCACTGAATTTTGCTTCCTCGTATTCCAGCAGATCACATATGAGTCAAACATTTTGAATTTAAAACCTGTTGTACTCTTTCTATTAGATTCACTTTCTGCCCAGTCAGAGTCAACATACCCAATAATTGTGTCATTAAAATTTTCATTTTTGATAAAAGTTAATTTCAGATCCACAGTACCCTTTAAATATCTCAAAATTCTTTTTAAACTTTGCCATAATTCTGAATTGTTTTTGTTTGTATATCTACTAAATATGCTTATTGCTGTACTTAGATCAGGACGCGTACATAACATTAGATACATCAAACACCCAATCAGATTTCGGCACGGCGCATTACATTCTTCATCTGAGTCTAAAGCTTCTTAATTTAGCTTAGTTGGAAGTCCATTCGTCCATATTAAACTTTTTTAAAATATTGTTAATGTAGGCTGATTGACTAAGATATAAATAACCATCTTTTCTTTCTACTTTTATTCCAATGAAGAGTTAAAACATTTTCAAATGTCTCGAACCAACATCGCGCCGCTTGTTTTAACCCATAAATAGACTTGTTCAATTTACAGACTTTACCATCCTCATATGGCAAGCCCTCCGGAATCTTCATAAAGATTTCCTCTTCCAAAATACCATTTAGGAATGCCGTCTTAACATCCATATGGTGAACTTTTAAATTGAATTGGTTTGCCACGGATAAAATGAATCGAAAACTAGATATTCTTGCAACTGGAGCAAAAGACTCATCATAATCTAAAAGATACTCTTGAGTGAATCCCCGAGCTACTAATCTGGCCTTATATTTGATTTGCTTGCCATGCTCATTAGTTTTTATAGAAAACACCAACATGCAATCAACAATATTATTATGTAGAGGCTGGTCAACTAAAATGCAAGTTTTATTATAAAAATGCGAATCTAATTCTTCTTTTACGGCTTCTTCCCACTTAGTTCTGTCTGTTCTATTTTTAAGATCATTGTAGTTATTTGGGATATCATCACAAAAGGCGTGAGCATTCATTAAGGAATTGTTTAAGAACCGATAAGACGGTTTTGGCCTGTCTTTTAATCTTTCACTTCTTCTGACTTCAATTTCATCTACTTTTAGTTGCATACTAGGCAATTCTTCACCAATGATTGGATCGGCATTTTCGCAAGTTGTTGTCTCACTAGGCTGTTTATCTGATTAAAAAAGATCAGATTTTCCATCCGTACTCTCATTCGGGATATTCGACTCCTCTGCTCCTGAATTCATTTCAGTCGACAATTTTAGATTATTCATACTATCATTCTG